CTAGAGTGAAGAGTGTAACAACAAAATCTCTGGGCTCGAATGGAAGGAAGACACGAGAAGATAGCACAGACATTATTTGTACAGGCTACTATTGTGTTAACTCACAGCCTTTGGGAATACTAATGACAGCAGGATCTTGATTCTGTAGGTAGTTGAGGAATTTAGCATTCAGTTCACGAGTGGAATTCACATCTTGGAACATACGCTGCAGCTTGGCTGTGTACTCGAAACCACATGCTTCTTTCAATTTTGAGATCATAGAAGCCTCGGCATCTTCAGAACTGGACTGATTGTTTACAAGGCGCCGAGCCAAAGTTTTGCTATAAAATTTTTGAAAGACATCCTTATCCTCAATATATTTGAACACGGTCATCTGGAAGAAGCAAGAGAGAGAGGAAAAAGAAGTATGTGAAACAGCTTAATGCATACTAGTGAAAGGGTGAAACATAAATCACGGCAAGTATTCAACTACAGACAAATCGGAAACCGTTATCAGTCAGTGCCAGGAAAATGACTTTTACACGATTTGAGCGGTCTAGTGAGATGGAAATAAATGTAAGCTAATCTCAACACAGTCACATGGAAGGTTAACTGAAATCAACTTCGGAAGTTGCCATGAACTGACGAATGGCCAGGGGCTACACCGGGCGGAAAGGATTGCTCAGAAAACGCAAAAATGAGGAGGTTATCACACTGTGCGAAGCATTAACAGTGCTACAGTTTGCTTACTGGACGAATCATTGATGCAGTGCGATTAGGTGCAGTAACAACAACAATCGAGTTTTCCGTGATAAACTGAAAAGGCTGATAGTTGAAGCACTTGTCACAGAGAAGGTTTTGATTGCTTCCTAACCGTCAAGTGGTCAAATGCTATGGATAAGCTAGAGTTTTTTTACCCATAGTTTGTCAGTGTCTAACGAATCAACGTTTTATTACAACTGGGCTCTCATATTTGCATCAAACTTCGATACAAATGTTTAAACACGAAGTGCGATTTGAAAGGTCAATAATAGTCCGAGTGATTCCACGGTATGAATGATCCTCGTAAGAAATCAGGGGTGAAGGAACAAATAGGCGTAACATTACCACGGATTATTTTTGATAGGATGGGTGGGTAAAGCGTGCCCCCCTCCCCCAACTGGAACTAAAACATACCATGGATGACTGCATGTAAATTAACAACAAAGTATGATCGAATGTGTGATGCGACGTCGACGAAAGTACACTTCATGCCAGACAACCCAGAAAAAGTTATCCCACTTACCACTTGACCGGAGGCTTCATCAGGATCGTAGCTGGGCATATCCTTCGGGCTTAACATTTTAAAAATAGAAATAGACGCGACATTACGTAGTCACTAGAGATACTAACGGGAATGAACAAAGCATGCAGGATTAAGTTCAACAATATAAGATATTCATAAAAATGACTAGTACAGGTAAAACAGTTGGTTACAATTCGAACAGAGCGAGTAAGTATAATCGACACGAAAATACATATATGCTTGAAAGGTGGACCGTATTTAAACAAACCAGAACACAAAGAATGTATTAGGAACAGCATATGATATAACTTTTCACAAATATTCCTTATTTAACATAAATTGTATATCAGTTGGGAGTTACCGGATTACGCAAACCTGTACACAGCCGAGAAAGATCTCAGGCAGAGGATGAGAGGACGCCACTGGTAGAGATCTGCTACGAAGATGCGGAAAAAACGACTGGCAGATATTTGTGCGCACACCTCGGTAGTATTAGGTATGGTAAATTGATGGTGTTGGTGAATATACCAATCTCTTGTTTACTATATTAAAGTGGTATTTGTACAATCATTTCCTAGAGGACGGCAATGATTGATCAAAGAACAGTCACAGGTTAGGAAGTGGGATATCACTGTTTAAGTTACGCTACCTTTGATGACATACATCAGGTTTCGCAGTCCGACTTTTAAATCCCGCCACCATCGCATTAATCTGGTGATGGACAGCTTCGTCATAGCCCAGCTTTGTAAGGTGCCTGCTCTGTACTAGTGAAGCCTAATGTGATTAACTATTCCCATTCCAAGAGCTCAGGCTGACCATTGCAAAAAGAACAGTGGGATACCGTGACCATCGGGAGGGGTGATAACTGATACCTGATTAAATTATCAGATTAACTGGTTCTCAAACTAAAACACATCAGTCAGTGACAATCGTACGATGACAGCTAATGTGATTGACCATGAGATTCCATGCCTGCATATTATCACGCCTCATTCAACCAACAACTGGTCCAAGATGAAATATTATGATGGTACAAACAATTCAACGTCCAGTTGAGGTGTGAAGCAATTTGATCGGGGGTGGCCAAGGTATATCGGTCTCTGACACGGATGCATACGCTACTCGTCAGGTTACATGTAAGAAGTGCAGATAACTTTCAAATTGTGTTCAGCTTCATTTCTTTTACATTTCATTACTTTTCTTTGCTTTGATGAACAGCCGACGGGGTAAACCCCATAGTCACGAGGACCTGCTGTTCAGTGATGGAAACTGGTAACCTAAACCCCGGGACTTGGAGTAACAAACCAAACAAGGCCCCACT